GATACACCCTGTGTATACATACATATGGATATACAATAAATCTCTGTTGATAACGAGAAAACGAGTACTTTGGGAGAGGTGCTTTTTAAAAATCTTAAACCTACTGAAAGAGGGTGCTTAACTGACACAGGCAGTTTGTTCCATTATTGCATGCCCGAAATTCTAAAGTTCTTTTGCCAAGTTCCGTTCTTGAGGGAGGGAGGTAAAGATTTCTTGCAACACAATGTCTAGTTCGGTAGGAGTGTTGATCACTAGCATAAGAAAACAGTCTACAGAGGTATTCCGGAGCCATGCCAATTAAACATTTGTACACAATTTCATTAAGATAGCACTCACGTTTAAATTGTAGGCTATCCCATCCCAATTTGTTATAAACAAATGAGCTTTGATATTATCGGAGCGAACTCCAAAATAACACGTCAAGTCTGATTTAACCATACATTGACATGAGGCATATGTGTTTTTGCGGCACTGCCCCAAACAAGGTCTCAATAATCCAATTGTGTAAAGATGAACGACTTGACAGGAAGATTAAGTGTCCTAATGGACAAAAAATCCGAATACACAGCAAGATCCGAATTCTTTTTGATACGGATGACTCAACATGTTCCAATTGTTCATTCCATTGAAGTTTGGAATCAGGATCACACCAAGATAATCGATACATGAAACTAGTTCCAGGCTACTGCTAATGTCAATATTGGTCCTTCGGCGTCTGGCTAGCTTTTGGCAAGACCCGAACAGCCTGTTCTTACGTTTAGCTAACTTAAGACAACCTGCGTCTGGCTAGCTTTTGGCAAGACCCGAACAGCCTGTTCTTACGTTTAGCTAACTTAAGACAACCTGTTGTTTTCAAGCCAGGACGTAATTCTTCCTATGTCATCGTTTAAACGATGCTCAATTTCCCAGATACCTTTACCAGGATAAAAAAATAGCTGTCTAATCAGCATAAAGAGCAACCTTAGGATGTTCAATGACAGAAGGCGAATCATCAACATAAACAGGAAAAAACAATGGGCCCAGAATATAGTACTCCGCGGAACTCCAAAATGAACCAATTGTGAATCTGATACAACTCCTCCAATCTTAGTGACCTGCTTTCTCTGAGAAAGGTAAGAGCTAAACCACTCAAGTTCTTATAAACTCACGCCCATAGAATGCAGTTTTTAGTGGGATTGTGTGGTTGACTTTACCAAACGCTTCACGGAAGTTGAGAAAAGCAGCTCTAGTTAACTTTCCTGAATCAGCGGCATTTCACGAAAAATCGGAAACGTCAATTAATGCCGTGTGTCTTGAACGGAGACATCAAAAACCAGACTGCTCTATAGAGCTAAGCAATTGTTGAAAATTGGAAAGCTGATTGTAAACAATACGTTGAAAGATCTTCACGACAAGTAAAATAACAGAAATTGGTAGATACTGAGTACAGTAGTGGATAGCGCCACCTTTATGAGTGGGAGTGACTTTGGCTAGTTTCTAATCGTCCAGGACGACACCGATATTCCATCTTGAAAACATCTATACCGGGAGCAAGCTAGGTTTCAATTTCAGTGTTGCTGCAAAAGGTTTGATGATGGACATCTCTCAGTTGTGGTAGGCCTATTGAACAAAGAAACCGTTTCTTGAATTCAACATTCCTGGCATTTAAGGGTGGGGAGCCCCCCCCCACCCCCCTAAAATAAATCACCTTCAATTACACTTTTGCGTACAAATCTTTAACTTGTCACTATATTACCAGTAATCATCAGTGAAAAAACTCAAGAAAAGAGATTGTCTGGCATTCGTTTTTATTTTAAGGGTCCAAATAAGAGGTTCAGTTGCACTTTTGCGTACAACAAACTGCTTTGCTTTTCTTGTCACGTGGCATGTCTTCAAGGGGTTCCATGTCCCCAATTACATTTTTTGTATATGGAAACTTTGTAAATTACTGGTAGGCAATAACATCAGCGCCGCAAAAATGCTCAGGAAAGGCTCATTCCTCGTATAAGAAGGGGTCTTTTTACTCGTTGACAAAAAGGAATCATATGACACCATGGGGAACAAGCATTTGAGAATTACACATCAGATCTTGAGATGCATGTTCTTTGAAGCTTCAGTCCTACATTCAGTACAAATAAGTGTGGGGGAGCGTTTTTAGGGGTCACCGTAGTTTATTTGGCACGCCGCCCAGCCCTATACAGGGTGTCCCAGAAAAAAACCAAACCCTGAGGGAAGGGGGTTAATATGCCCAAACCATGAGATATGATTAAAATGTGTAAGGATCTCCAAAAAGACGAAGCAGTATTCTTTCTAATGATATCTTCATGGTATCCCTCCTGTCATGCATGACTGAACATCATTGTCTTAAAAATGGGGCATCCGAAGTCAGTTGTAACACTTTGGATAAACCAGTGAATGAGGTTGTCCTCTGTCATGCTTGTCCTGGTTGAAAGTGACAACAAAAGGTCATGTTAGCGAGGGAAGATCGCCTTTTGCCACTTTCAAGTTATGCAATAATCTGGTTTAAATGTGTTGACTTGCCCCGAGGTTGGCCAGTGCAGTGTCGAAAGTGTTCGAAGCAGGACAGCAAAAAAAAATGCTTTGTACATGTATTTAGTTTTGAAACTGAACATGTAGCAATGACATTAATGCATTTTTTTTAGTCTTAAGCCAGATTACTTAAATGTTACCTGACTGAAATGATTCCCAGAAATCTACTATAACTGCATTTACATTGCACAATGTCGAGTTCTATGCATAGGGAACAGAGTTGCTGACTCGAATCATGTGACTTGGACTCGAGTCAGACTTGAGTTGCTACTTATGTGACTTGTAAATACCGGATTTGGCTTGTGACTTGACTTGGACTTGCAAAAGATGACATGTTATCAACCCAAGTGAGACGCTACTCAAGCGGCCCCGTGTATTTCTTTAATAAAGTTATTCAGTTTACACCTTACGTACATAAAAAAAATGGACTTGACTTCCGATCCGAGGCTGCTACTATTATTTCACCTAGCCTAGCTGCAGCTGTAGATCAGGGCAGCATACATATCATGCTGCTATGTTGCGTTGCGTTGACGCTTGACTGGGACAGCGCAGCGCCCTCAATAATGTTATGTAATCATTTCATCTCAACGCTTATTTCCAGCCTGCAAAGTACATCAAATTAAATAGAGGTCCAATATACTACAAGTATGTGATAAACTGCAGGAATAGCAATTACAACACAAGAGAAAAGGGGGGACTATTGTCAACAGTATTGGAGAAAAGGCGTTCAGCTGTCCGAAATTCATAACTAGTAAAGTTGACGCCTGGTTCTTTTTTCTTATTACAGCTGGACAAATAAGGTGCAGCTTGACTTGTACTTGGACAAAGAGACTTGTGACTTGACTTGTGTTTAGACCAAATGACTTGTGATTTGACTTGTGCTTAGACCAAATGACTTGTGACTTGACTTGCCCTGTGACCAAATGACCTGTGACTTGACTGGTGACTGGACCTAATGACTTGACTGGGACTTGCATATAACGACTTGTGACTTGACTTGACTTGGACTTGCAGAAAATGACTTGCTGCCACCTCTGATAGGGAATCCTTTCCCAGCAATTGTCCATACCATTATCAACTACTGGGCTATTACGTGATTTTGTTTCATCTTGTAATAATCACAATAATACATGCAATAATGATATACCTGTTGTAGGGAACTGAGCTGTTGGATTATATGACATTTTAAGATGTGGCTCCCCACGTGATTGTAATGTTATCCAAACAATATGTTTGCATATGTCAGTGGTGGCAGTTCAAGTGGCATTGTTTCGTTCAGACGGTTTACCAGACGTAGAAGTGATACGCAAAATACCATACCAATCGGGAAAAAAATGACATGCAGTGAGTAACGTACATGATAGTCATCACGTATTACACAACTGTCCGCACTCCATCAGTGGTTGCCACAGGGCGCTGCTTGAAATATACCAAGCAAGATATGGGACGCAGGGGTACCCCCTTATCTGTCCAATTCCTATACATACTGTAGACTATTGTTACCTGACACATTCCCCCTAGAAGTCTGTAAAGAATTCCTGAGATTCCGATCAAAGAATGACCAACACATCGGCGGGGTGTTCTCTCTGTCCCATATCTTGCTTCAATTGGCTTGAAAGCAATTGCTCTATGACAAAATATTACTCCATGCCATCACCAAGAAAACTATTCAGAAAAGAAAGTGTATTGGCCCCGAGCGGAACCGAGAGAGGGCGCAGTTTTTCCTACGACGGAGGCGGCTTTGGTGGGAATTGCACTTGACTGTATG